TTGTCCCAAATAACAAAACAAAACAAAACAAAAAAAGCATGTAGTCGCGTGTGTAGAGACAAATATAAAGCAAAAGTGGTAAAGAATCCACAACAGTTCTTAGTGCTAATCTTCCAATTGTTCTATAAGTTTGGTTGGATTGGTTCCAGTTATAACTATTTAAGATAAAGGCCTAGACTCAAATGAGAGTAAGAGTACTAGGGGAAAATGCATGCTTTTGTGCACTAAAAAAAGTTGGAAAACAAAAGGACGACCTTAGCCACACTTGTGTCTCTGTCATACATCCGCCTATGGTGATCAGCGTTGGTTGCGTCCCGTCTCCTCCAGCCTTCTCCAGGTTAATGTGCAGATCCTCACAGGCGTGTCTGTTGGCTTTGTTTTTTTTCTCCTTTAAATACAAATACTATCCTATTGGCTTGGAACTCATACAAAGAGCTCATGAACTTAAGAATACTATAGAAAATCAAACGCATCCTTTAGTTAACATGATACATATAAATTAATTGATTCCGGGCCCGGCGCGGTGGCACAAGTGGTTAAAGGTCCTCGCCTTGCACGCCCGGGATCCCATATGGGCGCAGGTTCTAATCCCGGCAGCCCCGCTTCCCTTCCAGCTCCCTGCCTGTGGCCCGGGAAAGCAGTCGAGGACGGCCCAAAGCTTTGGGAACCTGCACCTGCCTGGGAGACCCGGAAGAGGCTCCTGGCTTCGGATCGGCATAGTATCGGCCCGTTGCGCTCACTTGGGGAGTGAATCATTGGACGGAAGATCTTCCTCTCTGTCTCTCCTCTCTGTATATCCGCCTTTCCAATGAAAAAAATAATAAAAAAATAAATCTTTAAATTAATTGATTCCATCAATGCTTGCTTGTATATTCAGAGTTCTTCCTTCACTATTGTCTACTATAAACAGTGTTGTGTTTTTGCGGTCAGGCACACATACATGTAGACAATCTGTAGACACAGCTGCCTTCATTTCTGTGGAACATATCTCTCACGTGACAGTGCTATGTCAGGTAATGCCAAATTACTTTTTAAAAAAGTCACAATTCACTGTAACAATCAGAAACTACATTTTCTGCATCTTCTCTCGCAACAAACATTGATTCTTCTTTATAGATGCATATTTTTTCTATTAACTATAGATTTGATTTCTTTGCTGGAAACTGTTCACTTAGACCCCTTGTTCCCCCATCCCCACTCTATTGACTTGCATTTTACCATTTATTATTTATTTACATGTGGTTCCAGTTTAATATTTGTATTTTGGTTATGGTATATTAATATACAGTTTATTTTTCAGTTATTTACTTTAAAAAGCTAGTGTATTTGAAAGCAGTTACAGAGGGCAAGAATGAAATTTCTCGTCATCTGGTTCACTCCATAAAAGGGTGCAATGGCCAGGGATCTGTCAGGTTGAAGCTTCGGCCAGGTCTCCCAAGGACATGGGCCATCTTCTGCTGGCCTTCCCAGGTCCATCAGCAGGGAGCTGGATAGGAGTTTATCACTGGGGGTACCTTGCATTGTTCCAGCTCCATGTGGCCACTCCCGTCCTCCTTCCATGTGCAGTAGCGAAGGTGTTATCAGAAGCATCTTCCTTTACCTGGTATCATCCCCCAATATCTTGTTATTGGGCTGACTCATTTATTAAGTCCTGACATTCACTTTGACTTCCTCTGTTTTCTTTGCCTCCACAGCACTCATCATAATTTGCATCCAAACTTTTTAGACATGTTTCTTTGTGACATAAGCTCATGAAAACAGATACTGTCTTGAGCTCAACATGTGGGACCAATATACAGAGTGTTGGTAAACATTAGTGGAATTGGTAAATAAATTCCTTCCATGGGCCTCATTCTTTGCCACTCACTGCTTCTCTTGCACCTCAAATCAAACCATTCGACATTCATGCTTTCTTAAGGTGTTGAGCTCTGCTTCCTGATTTTTCTCCTTGTGTCATCATTCCTATTTTTAACCCTAATTCGTTTCCACTCCAGTCTCTTACTGAATGGCCACTTTGTAGATGTTAACAATAAGTTTCTCTGTAAATCCAGGGGCTGATCTTGGTCCTGAATTTCTGTGTAACCTATGGCAATGGATAATGCAATCTTTGTTCAGTTTCAAAAATTTTGCTGCTTTACTTTTTTAAGTTGTATTTTTTTAAAAGATTTATTTTTATTATTTTTTTATTGGAAAGGCGGATATACAGAGAGGAGAGACAGAGAGGAAGATCTTCCGTCCAATGATTCACTCCCCAAGTGAGCTCAACGGCCGATACTATGCCAGTCCGAAGCCAGGAGCCTCTTCCGGGTCTCCCACGCAGGTGCAGGGTCCCAAAGCCCTGGGCTGTCCTCGACTGCTTTCCCGGGCCACAGGCAGGGAGCTGGAAGGGAAGCGGGGCTGCCGGGATAGAACCTGCGCCCATATGGGATCCCGGGCGTGCAAGGCGAGGACCTTAACCACTTGCGCCACTGCGCCGGGTCCTTAAGTTCTATTTTTAATTCCTTTACCTCCTTGATGGTCATGTCTTCTGAGTTCCACTCCTTCTGCATCAATGGATACCCCTTTGAAGTTTCCACATCCACTTGTGGCATTACAATGCTGATTTGTTAATTCAACCAAAATAGAATGCTATCAAGAATGAGGCTTTTAAAGTGTTGAACTTCATTATGGACAAGACAGGAAGCACTTGCCTTCCTGGCATTTTTGGATCAGGCAGGGAGTTCGAAAGCCAAGAATGATGCCAAACAATCATCTGGCACTGCTGCATAAGCAAAGGAACAGGATGTTCCCTGGGTGGCTCCCTGAAGAACTGCATCCAAGATAAGCTTTGAATGGTCAGCTGCATCTTTTTCTACTGAAAAAGGAGCCATTTAAGCTACACTGACCCTAAGGTGAGAAGCCGTCATGAAGCTAGGCTAGAAAGGAAGACTTGAAACAGAGAAAGGGGATAGAGGTGTAGTTGAGGACGCACGTGTATTCTTTTCTACACTCACATGGCAACAGCTACACATCATTGTACTCAGCCCTTATGAAATATATTGCAATTTTCTTATGGATTTGAGAAAACTGTATGCCTATTTTATGTATCAGAATCTTAAGATTTGAGAAATTAATCTAAAGTGTAATTTAAATTACACTTCTAGAAAGGGATAAAAAGCTATTTCCTACATATTGCAACACCGTGAAAATAATTTACTCAACTCCCAGGGTTAAAAAATGCAAACTTCAAAGGCTCGTCCATCTATATTTTCAAGGTTTAAAATTATATATAGGCAGCCAAATGATTGACAAAATCAGTGTATCCTAAGATCAGAAAGAAATGTCCCTCAAATAAACTTCACATTAAAAATAAGCTTCAGAAACTTTCCTATCTTTCTGTTAAAGATAACCCGCTGGGTCTGTTTTAAATGATCACTAACTGTACCAGAAATTCACATGCAATTAAAAATGTGCAACAGCTTCAACTCCTTTGATTAACCCAAGGATTTCAGTTCTTTAGCAGTATCATTTTGCATAAAAAGCAGTTGCACTAATTCAGTAGGTCCTATAGCTGTACTTGCTAATACTTACAAACTTACAGGCTAGAGATATTTCCCGTAAAGAAAAACATCTTTAAGTAAAATTTACAGTGAGAGATACTATTTTGTGCCTCAAGTTTACTAATGTTCAAAAAACTTCCATTTAAAAGGCACTGGCTGGGGGTGGGAACAGGACTGAACCTATTGTGCAAACCTGAAACTATAAAGGTTCAAAGTGAAAAGATAAATCTTCCTTAGCTGAAAACTCTACTCAATAAAAGACCAAGTGAGGTGCTGATGGAATCTGAATATGGGAAGATAGCCCTTAATTTAATGCATATTAAAAAAAAAGCCCACGACGATTCTTGGAAACTATCAAAACTGTTTCAGCCTCTGCTGTCTCCATTCTTGGGCTTCGCTGAAATGGCAAAATTAAGAAAGTGTTATGATACATTGTAAAGGGGCAAAAAAATCAGATACACATAAATTTACTCATTTTTTATTTTTGCTTTTATATTAGCATATAGTACAATTTTCAAAGCCAATGACAATCTTTTGTATGTGTATTTAAAGCATAACAAAATAAAAGTATTTCACAAAAGAAATCCATATTACAGTACTATTGAAATATGAGGCATAGGGTAGTTATGCATTTGTGGGTTATAAACATAATACATTCCTTTTAAAGAATAGACATTTAAAGTGAATAACATTTTGGTTAAAATAAATACAGTAAATGTTAACAGCAACACCTTAAGTATATGGGTGTAAGCAAGGTGTTTTGTAATAGATACTATGTAGAATGGGAAAGCATTCATGAAATGGCTGTCATGTCTAACTAGGTTTACCATCATTGCACCTTGCTGAGCTCTGGATGTACGCACAGACCTTCGATCCATCACTCCTGAGCCTCAGCACACAACACAAGGTTACCCCATGCTCAGCCCTGGGTAACTAGTACCGATGTCTGCATGAGGTTCAGAACCAGATGTGGCTTCTATTATTGCTTCTGAAATTAATTCAAACACGTAACTTAATATAGAATTTACTGATAAACACAGAAAACATTTTACAGGTGATCATAAAAATCAGAACTTTAATCATCCTCATAATTCTTTAAGTAGGATCACTTCAAAATTGGTTTTATACAGTGGTTTCAGTGGAAAAAATATGAACACTTAGATTTAAGAAATTTCAAGACATTTCTACATGCAGAAAATAATGATGGGTTTCTCTGATTATGTAATTCTTGCCAGTGATTTCCTTCTAGCTGATAACAGCTACTGAGAAGAGAAGCTCAGATCTTTACCTGAAAGTCACCTTGGGAGTTAAGCTAATGAATTTTAGATCCACGTGTTTAAAAAAAAGTACCTGTTCCAACCTGAGAACCATTTCATCTCAGACAGACATTTAACACTACAGTGGATGCGATGCTAACAGTCAACAGAAATGACTTCCTGTGTGTCCCGGGCTACGCTGACATCCGTGGATACCCGACCACCAGCCTCGGGGAGGGTGCAACAAGACCTCTTGGAAGGATCAACCAGGTCGTCTTCGCTTAAGTTACTCTTTGGATACCAGATACAATTAATGGTGAAAAGCAAGACTCCATTTTTGTTTTCTGCTTATGTATTTTTAAAGTTTATAAAATGACTTGAATTCCTATCAGTATAAGCCAAAGACTGTAAGAGCCGGCAAGCCCAGCAGTTACAGGGGCTGGAGGCAGGCATTCTCTGACCGTGAGGTTTCCACGCTGACAGGAGAATCCTTTGGAGGCCTAGGGTGGTGGCTGTGGCCCTCTGCTGTGACTGCCAGGCAGCTCGGGGAGCCAGTCATAGCTAACTTGAAGGTTCTCGGGGTTAACATATCTTCACCACAGTCTCACTCAGCTCTGCCCAGTTCCTTCAACTCAATGAAATGCTACCATCTCTGCCATCTTCACGCACGAGTACAGCTCTTCGCTCCAAAGCTTCTCAACAGAAATGCTCGTCTCATGGCTGTTCTGACCGCAGTAACAGTCACTCTATACCTCTTCAGACATTCTAAGATTATAGCCTTGTCAAGGAATCGAAGCCGTATCCACATCCACAGGTACAGTGTAACACACATTCCTCCTTCTTCTCTCACAAGACAAAAAGCAGATGTACACAAGGTGGCCCAACTTACCAAAAGTCTAAAAATACTAAATCCAGAAAAAGTGTTGGTACACCGAGTACTTTTTAAAAGATAATCAATGTTGCAGATTTTCTGAAAATATAACGGGTTAAAATGTACATACAATATAAATAAAGTAACTTGAATATAAAAAAATTTATGAGGGGGACCCACCAGAACTTCAATACAATCTATGAATAAAAACATGCATACATTATAGTGTACAATTATGAGCTAAAATGCATTTAAATTTATAAAGAAACTGAAATATAGTACTGCAAGATTACTCAAAGAATATTTTTCAAATGTACAAACAATAATGAAAACACAAAAGCTTTGGGCGATGTGCAACTTTAAAAATTACTATCACAGCCAAATCCTTAACCATGTTTTAAATGAATTCATTTATATCATTTTAATACAAAGAAACTAAAAAATATACTGAAACAAAGACTCTTCAGTGTCTGACTCACATTTTGTCTCCAAATCTTCACATTTAAAAACTGCACTTTGACTGTAAAAGCTAAGAATTTTAAATGTTTCTTTGTGTACATTTATTGTAAATTATATCTGAATGCTACGCTGCTAAAACTAAAATACATACTTCAAATTTTGACAAAACAGTCACAAAATTTCACAATGTGCTCACCTCAGTGTCCATAAATGATGAAAACCAAACAAGCCATGTGCTAAGATAACTTTCCTTGGGCTTCAAGTCTATCCTGACATGTGCCAAACTTCGATAGCTGGCACTGGCAGTCTACTGAAACACAATTTATCAGCAGAAAACACCAAATAACTCTTAATAATAATAATAATAATAAAATTAGCCATCAAAACCCATCGTGTTTCATTCACTCTCCTAACATGCGATTCAATTATTTCAAAGATATTTGGGGTTTACAAGAAAGCGATTTGGAAGCTTACAAGGAAACTGGTTAAGGATTTAATGCACATAGCTCTGAAATATTAATCCTAACACACAGACAAAAATGGGGAGGTATAGTCTGCACAAAATCCTTTAAAGTATTTTGGTGTGTCCACGGCCCCGCGCTTGCTTAGCTGCTTGCGGTGCAGGCATGCATCCTCTTCGCTACGTCGTAGACATAGGTGATGTCTGGCCGCTTCTCTGGATCCGGGTTGATGCACATGTTAACCAACTGTCGCAGCTGCAAAAAAAGAAAATGCAGCATACGTCAAGATTTCCCGTTACTCAAAAAGAATCAACTGTGAATAGCTGTGTGTTCCCAAAGAAAGTACATTTCCTGACCATTCTTTTTCCAAGAAATATAGACTGTCAATGACCTTACAACCAGTTAAATGCTTTAAGGAACATATTCAAGGGAGAGTACTAACGTGAAATAAGTGTTTTATATAATCATTGGATTTAAAATGGATCTGATATATCTGATGATTGCAATTACTGAAGACAGTAGTTTTTAGCTTAGTGTTAAAGTTAACTGTGCAGATACAACTTTACTTCAAAAAGTTGGTGGAAAGAAGAACTGAAACATGTTTATTTTTTGAAACCCATTTGTATAAGGGATCTGCAGAAAACTCTTGAAATTTTTGTGCCATGAAAGACTATGCATGAATTTTATTTTTCTCCCAACACAACTTTAAACACCAATTTTTTTTCAAGTGCTTTGTACCCAGACCTAGAATTCAGTACAAGAACTTTGATTTAAAGTGCTGTACAGTAAACAGGACTACTGTGAACATTTTTATATAAATATACATAAACACTTAGGAAAAAAACCATACCTTGAAGCTAAGACTATTAAATTGCAAATAAGGTAAAGGCTGTAAAAACATTCCCACCCTCAACTATGAAAAAACCCACATTCCAATACACTAAAACACCCTCTCAAAAAGTTCCAGGGCCACGAAGCAGCAGAATGTGGGTTTTGCTCCCCATTCTATTCGCTGTGACTTTTGCAGCCATGAGGTTTCATGTTGTCCATGACATTCCAGAGGGGAAGAACTGGGTCTTTCCTGCCTTGTAAACTCATCTTTGATATTTAGACATTCTGAAAATTTGTGTTAACTCTTGCTGGAATATCAACGCAGAAGATTAGGAAACTGCTGTTACTGCTTTATCTTCCTCAATTTCTACCATAATACAATTTTGAAATAGAAATAGATGTTGAAAACCAATGTGTGGACTGATCTGGTACTAGCGCTATGAGAAGGCGGATGCCTGTGAGCAAGGTCGAGCGTGTGTGAGGTGCCAGGATGGGGACGGGGTTTTGAGTGGAACAGGAACCAGTCTTGGCAAAGGTATTGTGCAGCCCTGCGCCCTGAGTTGAGTCAGTGTTACATGACACGAGGAGGCTGCAGCAGATGATAAGGAGCAGATGATCTATGGGGAATCTTCTAGTTCCAGTTCCTTAAAATGTGTAATTCTAGCAGAATTAAATGTAATGATACAATTTTAGCCAAATCTAGAAATTCAATATTACACCTACTAAAAGGGCCCATAAGATTACAATTTATTTTCTTTGCTAAAAAAAGCAGTAATTACTATTTAAGACCATTAAGAAGTATAGCAATATGGAAGCCATTTTGTTATGATGGAGCTAAGAGAACCCTAATCTGGAAGTCAGCATTTTACTTGCTATTAAAGAGACAAAAACAATCATTTATGCATAATAAGGAAACAGTTGAAAAGGGACCTATATAATCAAGTTATATTTAAAGACACAATATTTAAGGTCACCTAACTACCAAGTGTTTTGTGTAGAGATCACAATATCAGGAAGCAGAGCGGATGGCAAGAAAAGATTATTGCGGTACAAAAGTATGCTTAGCCAGAATACAAGCAGCTCTGACAGTTCCTTCAGGCTCATTCAGAAGCCTTGTTTTGTTTGTATTATATTTCAGAACAGGGAGGGCATTCCAATGCACTGATTACAAATGACTGGCATTGAATTCCTCTTGGCCAGCTTTTTCTAATGTCAAGATTAGAGAAAGAATGATGTTAGCTCAAGAAGACAGTGGTTCTTCAGCTCTTCAAAGAGGAGAACTAGAGATGGTAAACAGGGAGAAAGATGAAGAATAAGGTAAACAGCACCAGGGAACAGCTGCTTCTTCTAAGTCTTTTTGGAAGGGCTTTATCAGCGACAACAGGTGACGCACATCAGAAAGTATGTTGGAGAGACACTGACGCAGTGCTTGCTTTCCCCACCCCATGTGAATGGTCCAACTGGTCCCAAACAGGAAGCTTACTTTGGCATTCAGATCTTCCTCTTTCAGAAGAAGTATTAGTAGTTGCCACTACATAAGTTCAGATGTGTGAAATACAGGTAGTTAATGCCTCGCTATACCTTGTAATCAAATGGTAAACATAATTTCTCAAACTATAATAAGCAATAAGCTCTAAAAAGAACACTTTAGAAAACTAAGTTATGTGGCAGTGATTTGTTTGTCACACCAGTATTTCCAGAGGATTTACTCTATTGGAGACAGTAGGAGCAGTTGATGACCCAGGGTGAAACAGAACTGCCCTAAAGAAAGACTTACTGTTCAGAACAAGAAGATATGTTGCAGTAGGCATCTCTACTCCCAAAGAAAAGGAGGACCTCTGATGAAAGAGTTAAAAATACCTTGGCCTTACAATGTCATGATACACTTAAATAGTAGACTGTTGGATTTGTAACTGCGGCTGAAGGACTATACTACTGTAATAACATGAGGGTATGTGGTACGAATGAAGCGCAGGGAAGAATTTATATTCCTACAAAACTGGATCATGGAAAATAACAATAGTAAAAAATACAAAAAAAAAAAAAAAGTGAAGACACAGCTTCCCTTGCTATCTGACTCTCCTTCCTTCTTGCCTTTTGCTTGTTCCATTTTCATTCATATGTTCAGGCAAAACATTCTCATAGAGTATTACGCACTAAAAACTTCACCAGATGGTAAGGACAACACAACCAATGACAACTGAAGGCACTCGGCCTTCTACGGCTTGCAAACTAGTGAGAAAAGACAGGACAAATGAATGTGAGGGAACTTTGCAGTTCATAACAGATACATTCCCGAAAGATGCATGAGATGAAGTGAAAGACTACTGGGGGCAGCCCGGAAGAAGGAACCATTGCTTTGCTCTCCTTCTGCGTCTGTGTAAGTTAAGTGTTTCAACTCAAGCATGGCTCTTCTCCATCCCACGAACTGCAGCCATCACCCAGGGTGCCCAGCTATCCACTTGGGTGCTTCATTCTTACAAAGCTTCCTGATTACCTGGTCTTGATCTTCATAGAGACAAAGGCTTTTTGTTGGAATACAGCCTGTAGGAAAGCTGGGACAGCAGAGGCCTGTGGGACCCTGTTGAGAAGAGGCTCCAGGAAAGAGAAGGCGGAAGGCCTTTCACCCACTGTGCGCTCTTGCCCCAGTGAGTCCTTGGATGTGCTTTTGTGCTCTCCCTGAAGACAGGCAGGTATCTGTGCTCTGTCTAGTCAATCAAGGATGAACAGTATTATCTATTCCCTGTTTCAATAACTCTAAGTTGCTTTGTTAGCTTCTTTGTTGTCTCTGTGTTCTTAGACATGATCTAATTCTGAGTTATGTCTGAATCATTGTTTCATGAAATGTATAAAAGCTGAGATCCTGGAAATAAACTTTGTCAGTTGCCAAAAGAGCACTGTCCCCACATTTCTTCAGGTTGCATCACCTCCCCAGGAACCCACAAGGTCAACTTGCACTATTTGTAAGAACTTGCTTTGACTGAGTTCACCTCCAGTGCCTTTCAACTTGCCAGTCCTCTCCTTTTTGACAGGCTCTCAAATGTCCTGTCTTCCTTTGCACCCCTTCTACCTCCTCCCACTTCAACTTTTTCACTGCCACTTTATCCTCAACAACTGCATTTGCTCCCATGTCTAACTTCTTGGTGGCTTTACTAGCCACAAAAGTGCAGGAGCAAAGATACACATATTCAGTCCAGGCCTCTCTGTGGCTGCATTTACTGCCTCTAACTGCCATATGAGCATCTCTGCCCGCACTCACATTAAACACGTTCACAGATGAGATCTTATTCTTTGTTCATCTACCTGGTTCTTTCTGTGTCAGATGGCACCTCCAATTTCTCAAGCCAGAAATATAAAATACACGTAAGCCCTCACGTCTTGTCCTGGCCCTGGTCCCCTCCCATACCCAAGCAGCACCTGCCACATGCCTACCTATCAATAACCAAGTTGCACTGTTTCTAGATTGTTGAATTTTTGTTCTTGTCACAATTTCTAAACCACCTTGTTGGAACGGTCTCAAAGCTGACACTTCAAAAGTGCAACGCAATCACCAAGCTGACTGTATGTCAACTTCAAGCATCTCAAAGATCTCAGCATTGCACACAATGACCTCGAGTTGGCTCCTGCTTATCCCTCCTGCAGTTTCAAACATTTAGTGACAAAATTCCTCCATTTTATTCCAGCACCATTCTTCATTCTAACTCTAATGAAGTGCTTGCAGTTCTGTACTCACAAAAGATGTTGTCTTTTTCTTTGTTTATGCTGTTCCTTTCTTTATCCGGCCTCCATCAAACCTCTTCCCCTCTGGCCTTCTATCTCTTTTCTAAAGCCTTTCTTCACTACCTACTTGCTGCACAGTATGCCTCACCTCTGCTGTGTGCTTTATATGCTTTTATTAAAGCCCTCTGACATTTGATTGTATTTCACTGACTGTCATAAGATGTGGTATGCCAGAGTGGCGACTGGATGAACACTGAAAACTCACTGGCTTGAAGGAATTGAGTGAGCAATGTCTGGCTGGATGTGGTACCCCAAGTCTGAAACACAAATATAATCTTAATGTTTGTAGAGTCAAAATGGAGCAATGAAAAATCCCAGCCAGCACACTGCTCAACATCAAGTTCCCGTAAAATTTCAGGCAAACCATTGTTGTTTATTAGGTATTTTCCGCAGGGCTACTCAAAGGAGGGTTTTCTTGTGAACAGGGATCAGTTAACATAAAGAGGGAGGGAGGGTAGCCTTGAGACAGCAAGAAGACACTTGGAATTTTGAAGATACTGATGCTTGATGGTCGAGATACGGGCAGAAATACAAATTCCAAATAGTGGGTTTAATTGTGTGTATATCTAGATAAACAAACAGTGCCTATTAAAAAACGGTGGACTCTCCCACAGCTAGATCTTAAAGAAGGAAGCTCAAGTGAA